TACGACATCGCTAAGTGGGAAGTCAGATACCAATGTTACTTTGTGCTCATCAAAGTAGTGGCGTAGCTTGCGTGATATGATCAAGAGGGCATAGAGGAGCTTCTGTACGTGCAGGTAGTGGAACTTGGAGTCTGATAACACTTGGCTAATGTAGTAGACTGGTCTTTGTACGTTATACACGTGGCCTTCTTCAGCCCGCTCGACAACTATTGCCATGCTGACTACTATTGTAGTAGCGGCAATGTAGAGTAACAATGGTTCTTGTCTTTCGGGTGGGGTGAGAATTGGTGAAGTGGACAAGTACTCCTTGAGTTTTTGGAAGGCATCGTCTGCTTCAGTTGTTCACTCAAATTTGCCTGACTTCTTTAGTAGCTTGAAGAAAGGCAATCCTTTTTCCCCAAGCCATGAGATAAAGCGATTAAGGGCTGCCATGCACCCTGTCAACATCTAGACATCCTTGACGCAATGTGGCCAAGTCATCTGGGTAATTGGTCAAATCTGCTCTATGCTAGCCTCGATGCCCCGATGGCTGACAAAGAACCCTAGTAGCTAGCCGGAGGGGACTCCGAAGACGCACTCAGTTGGGTTAAGCGTCCACTTGTATGTGCGAAGGTTGTCGAAGGTTTGTTTCAAATCCGCAATCAGAGTAGAGGGATCCTTGGTCTTGACGACGACATCATCCACGTAGGCTTCGATGTTGTGACCAATATGTTCACTTAGGCATGCCTGGATAGTCTGCTGATAGGTTGCACTGGCATTTTTTAGCCCAAATGACATGGTCGTGTAACAGTAGGCACCAAACAGGGTGATGAAGGATGTCTTGCTTTGATCTTCTTTGCGGAGGGCAATTTGGAGATAGCCGGAGTAGCTATCAAGGAAGGAGAGTAAAGCTGACCCGGCTATGGAGTCTACTATCTGATCGATGAGAGGCAGGCCAAAGGGGTCCTTCGGGCAATGCTTGTTGAGATCTATATAGTCGACACACATGCGCCACTCTTGAGTTTTTTTCTATATGAGTACCGGGTTGGCAAGCCAGTCAGGGTGAAGAATTTCCCTTATGAAACCGGCTGCCAATAGCTTGGTGATTTCCTTCTTGATTGCCGCCTTCTTATCTGGTGAGAACCGTCATAGGCGTTGCTTGACCGGCTTGGAGCCAGGATTTAAATCCAATTTGTGCTCAGCCAACTCTCTCGGGACGCCTGGCATATCAGCTGGTTTCCATGCAAAGATATCTCTGTTTTCTCTGAGAAAGTTGGTGAGCGCAAGTTCCTATTCCTTGGAGAGGTGGGCACTGATGGTGGCCGTCTTGGAGGGATCACCAGTACCAAGATCAATCTCGATGGTGTCTGTCTTGGAGTGTGGGGCGATAATTTCTACCTTCTTTGTTGGGATTTCAATATCCTTTAGGTTAGCCTGCTGTGCATGGGTGGCAATCTCTTAAGCTTCATAGACTTGCTGGGTTTTTACTGCGATCTGGACGGCTTCTATGTCGCAGTCATACGAACGCTTGAGGTCACCTCGAAAGGAGAGTACGCCATTGGGACCCAGCATCTTGAGCAAGAGGTACGGGTAATGTGGAACGGCCATGAACTTGGCCAAAGCAGGTCGGCCGAAGATAGTATGATACAATGATTCAAAGTCAGCCACTTCAAACTGGATGAACTCCGTTCGGAAGTTGTTTGGGGTACCAAACGTAACCAGGAGCGTGATCCATTCGAGTGGCATGGCGGCTTTGCCGGGTACTATCCCATAGAATGGGACGTCTGTGGGAGTGAGTAGGCTATGAAATCCAGGCCTATTTTCCTTAGGGTATCTGCAAATATGATATTTAATCCTGTGCCACCATCGATCAGGACCTTGGGGACTATCATGCCGGCTATTGTTGGACCCAGAACGAGCGGGTAGTGGCCCGGCGTTAGTCGCACTAGTCCATTGATCTTTCCTAGAAAACTAGATCGGGTACTCGGACCAATTGAGGTACTTAGGTGTAGCAGGTTCTCCTACCATGATGTCCCTAAGAGCTAGCTTCCCAGAGCGCTTGTTTGAAGAGGTGGGTAACCCGGGAAAGATTACCGCGATCTGGCCCTTAGGCTGCTAAAAGCCAGGGTCAGCATAATCGTCTCCATCCTTGTTATTATCCTCGTTACCCTTTCCCTTGTTGCTCTTGGCATAAAAACCCAGTTCTTGGAGTTGTCTGCACTCGGCCACCATATGCTTAGCGTTTTTGTGGTAAGGGCAGGGTAAATTTTTAAGGTCAACAAACTTCTTGTTATTCTTGTTGGACTTCTTGGATCTGTCTGAAGAGGCAACAGTATTGTCGGGTCCTCTCTTCCTAGCAGATGGACCACTCCAATTGCCCCTTGAGTCGTATCCTTTATCCGGAGGACCGCGTGGGAATCATTCATGGGTACGTTCCTTTGATGCAATCATCTTCTGTACCGTGCGCTTGAATTCCTCAGCGGTTTTCGGGTTGTCATCACAGAAATTTTCAAATTGCCACTTGTATTTCATTCTGTTGGAGAAGTGGTCGATCACCTCCCTATCCGTGTTGTAAAAAACTAGAGCTTTGATTTTGGCGAAGCGGTGGTAGTAGTCCTGGAAGAATTCATCCGGCTTCTGTTTGCACATTCTGAGCTCATTTTGGGTACTTGGAGTGGTGAGTACTCTGCAGAAATTTTCACAAAACTTGCGCTGGAGCTATCCTAGGTATCGAAGGAGCGTGCTCATAGCCTATCAAACCAGACTAGAGGCACGACTTCGAGTGCCATGGGGAAATACAAGACTTTGATGTCATCATCACCACCCGCCAATTCTATAGACTGAGAGTAGATTCGCAACCATTGGTTGGGTTCTATCTTCCCATCATACTTGGTGTGGTTGGATGGCTTGAATTTGTAGGGAAGTCGGATGTTGAGCAGTCTGCTAGAGAAACACGGGAATCTATCCGACGGGATGCCAGCTTCTTTGTACTCTGACTCGCCTTCGCCTTCCCTATTGCTATACTAATGCCCTTGGTAGTTTGACTGCATGGCTCTTTGATTCCTGTTATGGTTGCCTTGAGGACCTAGGTGGGAGTGGGTTGGTGCTCGTAGCTGTCCGCCTTGGTTACCCTGAGGCCTGACAAGAGAGTGAGCTGGCGCCCTTTGGTCTGGGCCCTAGTACAGGTTAGCTTGAGATGCTCGTTTTGCGGCCTGCATTTGGAGGGCTGTTGATTCGAGGATGACCTTGAGGCGTTGTTGCTCTGGAGAGGGGTCTTGTATAGCCACCATGTCTTCTACCAGGTCATAGACGTTGGCGTAGGGTGTGGTGAAACGCTGTGGCTAGCTACTTCGATGAATTCTGGGTCGAGGTTACGTGATGCGGAGGCTCTGGCTGCCTCATGATCTCGGCGTTGTCGTTCTGCCTCTTCATGCCGGATGCGCTGTTCAAACGCTGCCTCTGCAGCTAAGCGTCGTCGATCAACTTCTTGGCAAGCCGCCTGGTACCGTTCCCACTCTTCCTTTCAGTGTTGGGCGTGGTTTCGGTGGATTTGTCGGGCTTTATTCTTCTTCTCCCTGGCCACCCTCTGCTCGTCTGTTTCTTCGTTAGGTGGGGGAGTGTCCGGAGAGATGTCGGATAAAGCCTCCTTCCCATCTTAGATGTCGGGCGGGTTGGCATAGTGATCTGAGGTGGCTGACCCGCCATGAAGACTTCTCTGGAGTGCCTCATGGTCGAGTGTGTTCTCGATTCTGCGGTCGTCGTTGTTCCCACAATCTCTGTTGAATCACGATCATCATTTGTCTATTGGCACGATCTTTGCCATCTTGGTAGGGTAAGAGTTCCACCATACCGACTAGGCGAGATGGATCTGTTGAAGAGATGTTGGGCCAAGCACCGGCCAATGCACAATTCGTCCCTCAAATGTGATGGATAGGACTAAACCAGCTTGGGCACCCGCAAGGGGAATCTCTTGTTCCATTGCATAAGGTAGCTGATTGAATCTTGATAGATTGATGCTTGAATTGTTGAGTCCGAGTGGGAAGCAATTTGGGTCTCCAACTTGGACTTCAGACGGGGCTCCTAACACGGACCGAGGTGTCGTGACCGGGTGGAAGTCGTAGTCGATGGTGACCTCCGAAATCTATGTTGAATCAGAAATCGAGAGGTGCGAAAACTTCTTTGTGAGTTGGTCTAGCGTGATCAACGAGGTGTCTGGTGAAGCCTGGGGCGCCGGGATCTGGACGAGATGGCTTTGGAGTTCGCAGTGATTGTCCGCCTCGTAGATCCAGGAGCCAAAGATGAAGGTGGTTCCCGCTAGGAAAATCATGATGTCGAGGTCCGCCGAGCTCTCAGTTGCAAAGTCGCCGAAGGCCCCTACCTGGTGCGCCAACTGTCGGTGTTTAATGACCGGCAACCCATCATGGGGGTACCCGGGACGGTTGTTCAGAGGGCTTCGGCGTACGTAGAACCCGGCAGTAAACGCAAAGAGACAAACGATTTATACTGGTTCGGACCCTCTTGTCGAGTAACAGCCTTTATGTCCAGTCGGCGTGTAGCCTTTTGAGCTGGATTGATTGTATGATTGTTAGGGTTACAAGGGGGTGCACCGTACCTCTCTTTATATAGGGAGAGAGGGTAAGGGCACGTGTCTAGTCTTAGTCGGTTACAAAAGGAGAGTCATAGTCCTTTTACAGAACTTAGCTTTTATAGTAAGCCGACTAGGCTAATCTGAAAGCTTGAAGTCCACGCCACCTTACCTCGTGTCCTTCAACAGATTGTGGGCCGGCCCAACGCCCGTCCGGGTACCGCCCCTATGGGGAACCCCTAGGATCCTGGTCCGTCAGAGACCTTACAAGAGTGAAAAATAGAGGAAGTCATGCGCGAGGAAGTTTGAAAGTTTATTCTTAATCATTACCATTGCAAAACCACTACCACAATTTATTCCCCAATAAAAAGTGAACCGAACTAAATCCTTTCATGGTAGCACATCACATTGACTTATTGCAACACTACGATCATGCTCATGCACTGGTTGGCTCCAGTGCCGGCAGAAGCAACGACGATCTTTGGCCGACTTGTAGTTCATCATCCGGCGAGCGCGAGCCCGGCAAGCGCGAGCACTGCGAGCACATGCAGATCTTGTTGCCGTCGCAGAATCCGCCATTGTAGCCCTCGTCTTGGCACCGCATTATGCAAGACATGTGGGTGCGGCATTCTGGAACTCTGCTGCGCCAAAACGGGCAGTTGCCTATGTGCTCACGTCCAGTAACGTCTGCTTTATCGAACAGAGGATTATTCTTGCATGTGACTACAATCGCAAGCAGGAGGTAGAAGAAAGACGACAGGATCGAAGAAGCATTTGTTAAGTGTTACCTGATGGCAAAAGGAACGACAGTATTAGGGCACCTGCTGCTGCAGTGATGATAACCTTACAAGCCATGGTTTTGCAACTGCAAAATCTGATTGACCTGTAGGTAGATAGGATGGTTGGCTTGGATTCGCCTGGGGGAATGCATATTTATAGGATGGTGATGATTCACGGACCATATTGGTTCGGTGTTAAAAACAAAACTTGTACGTTTCCTTAGCAACCTTTGATGACAATGGGGTTTAGTAAGACTGTAATTAATGTATGTATTGTATGATTTAAGAGAAGATTAATGTGTACTAACAGTTATTACAACTTAGGACCTTTCTATCTATTTATATTAAGAAACGATAGGTTAGCACCAGACTGTGGGCAGGAGAAATTGGCAGGGTGATAGTGCTGCTGTATATGTAACTACTACTCTATCTGTGGACCTGGAATTGATACTTACCTAAAATTAAAGCCAGACTTGTTATTCATATACTTGTCTTCTATCTACCACCAGTAAGCACTAAGCAGTGGTGGGCCCATGGTTGTAGCAAAGGGTATACCGCAGCAAAATTTCATATGAAATTCGGTATATAATCCATTTACCAACGTATATGTAACATAATGGTTTGTAAATTTGTGTCCTAATTTTGTATAAAGGTAATAATAAATAACATGATAACTTCCTAATGAACGATAAAGTTAGAAACTTGCATAAATTAGAACATGAATAGTTCAAGCACCAGTTCACCTTGTTTATTCCCTCAAAAAATTACTTCGGTTGTATTATCTCTTCACCCACTTGATTAATGACTCTCTTGCACCTTCCACGCTATAAGTCATGCACCCTATCCATTTTATGTGAAAATTTTCCACTGTGAAAATTCTCTTAAAACATCAAGTTAATTTTTCCATTTGTTTTTTTTAATGTAGCTTGAAAACAATGCATGGCCAGGGATGGTCTTCGAATGACCCTGCCTGCGCCTCAACAAGCGTGGCATTAGGGAACTTGGGAATGTGTAGTTTATGGACCTAGGAATTAATTTTATACCTGATGACCTAGACGGCTCAATAAGGGCATGTACAACCCACGCACAACAGGCTGTATGCAAGTTCTTTGAATCTAAAAAACAAGACGGAGTAACTCACAGTGAGCATTTTCTATAAATTATTCTTATCAATGTAACTGCCACACGAAATCACTACCACCATTTATTCAGGTAATTAAAATACACAACATTACCACCACACATTAAACCCTTTCTGACGGCGCAGTACATGTATAAACTCCTGTACTATGTTCCTTCATGCGGCCCTTGGCTCCGGCGCTGGCTGAGGCGATGGCGACGGCGACGGCGACGGCGATGGTCCCAGAAGATAATAGTAATCTGCTAAACTGCACTGCGCGCACATGCAAATCTGTTGGAAGGTGCAGAATCCGCCCACGTAGCGTTCGTCTTGGCACCGAGCTAGGCAATGCATTGCGTTGTCGTGGCAATACGGAAACCTGCTGCGGACCAATGGGCACATGCCCCTGCCGTCTGCTTAATCGATCGATCCAACAAAGATTTTATTCTTATTACGGCTGTCACAAACAGGATGAAGAAGACGAGGAGAAGGAAGCATTTGTTCAGTAGAGTATTAACAGACGACGGCAAAAGGAACGACAGTATTAGGGCGGTTGCAGCTGCAGCCACAATCACCTTGCAAGCCATGGTAGCAAAATTAGTACGTATGTACTAGTTTCCGATGGCTTTTGGTAAATATGATGCTCTGGAAGCGATGCATATACTGATATACATATTTATAGGATCATGGTGTGAAACTTATTTGTTCAGTATTAAGGAAAACTGAGAGATTTTTTGGAAACTATTCAATGCGGGGCTTACTAATAATATTGTATTTAATGTGCGTATTAGTTAAGAGAAGATTTATTTGTATATGGCTCTTAGGATAAGTTAGAACCAAACTATGCGCAGTTGAAGTTGACAGATGTTTACTGCCTGATGGTCCTGCTATATTTTCTGTCATAACTCTTGAGCAGGCATCTTACCTGGAATTGAAGACAGACTTGTTTCCTACTGCTGTAGTATATGGAGTGATTAAATAGGGACGGCCTTTCTTATGTTTATCTAATAAATTATAAGAGTAAAATTCACGACGGTCCTTAGACTTTTATAAATGGTGTGTCATCTTGGTCCCGCAACTCACTTTCGGGTCGTTTGATGTTATCGAGATGCCGAACTCGAAAAATGCTGCTACACTTCTAGATGCCTAAATTTCGCGTCTGGTCATTTGAGATGAAACGGGTCTCGATTTGCTCTCTACGTTAACGTCGCATATTGCTTGTACATTGACGTGACCTGTCTTGTGTTGTCCACATGTTAGATCCATCTCCATTTCTTCTTTCACATCTGTCTCTTCATCACCTGTTCGTACCGTGGCCGCGGCCCTGCTTTAAATACTTTGCTTCTGCTAACGATAATAATAGGACGTGGGCGTTCGTCCGTACATTCGCCCAGACGCCACGCGCCCACTCCGCCACGCTGCTGTCGTGCGCCCCATCCCGCGCCGCTATCTCCTTGCCCCCCCCACCTGTCGTTCGCCATATCCGCGCCTCCCGCTCCTCGCTCCAACCATGCCCCTGCTCCCTCTGGTGTGCGCCCTCGACCGATATCTCTCTTATTCTTTGTTTCTCTGCCTTGAGTCCGCCATGGTTCGGGAGAGCAGAGCACTGAGTTGCCGCGCCACATCGCTCCTCGCGTCTCTTTGTGCCTCCTTATCACCGCCCGGGTCTGAATTATAAGAGTAAAATTCACGACGGTCCTTAGACTTTTAAATGGTGGTGTCATTTTGGTCCCGCAACTCAGAAAATGCTACTCTCTGGTCGTTCGATGTTATCGAGATGCCTAACTTGGTTTCAGATCATTTGAGATCAAGCGGATCTCGATTTGCTCTCTACGTTAACGTGCCATATTGCTTATGCATTGAAGTGACCTGTCTTGTGTTGTCCACATGTTAGATCCATCTCCCTTTCTTCTTTCACATCTCTCTCCTCGTCACCTGTTCCTACCGTGGCAGCGGCCCTGCTTTAAATACTTTGCTTCTGCTAACGATAATGATAGGGAGTGGGCGTCCGTCCGCACGGACGTCGCACACCCACTCCCCCTCGCTGCTGCCACGCGTCCCATCCCGCGCCGCTATCTCCTTGCCCTCACACGTTGTGCGCCCTACCCACGCCTCTCGCTCCTCGCTCTAGCCACGCCCCTGCTGCGCCCTCGGTATCTCTCTCGTCGTTTGTTTCTCTGCCTTGCATCTGCCAGGGTTCGGGAGAGCAGAGCTCAGAGTTGCCGCACCATTGTGCTCCTCACGTCTCTTTGTGCCTCCTCGTCGTCGCCGCGTGTGCCCAGGCAGCCAGGAGAGGTGCTGTGGCTGGGCCCAGGCCAGGTGCAGGTGCAACTGGCCGCTACCAGGCCGCGCCACCATCCTCGCCCACCAGCTGGCCAAAACTAGACGTTCTCCCGCTCCGCACTGCGTCTTACGAAAGAAGGGTGAAAAACACATGTTGCAAATGTATGTTTGAAGTGTTTCAGATGTTTCATAGGTATGTTGTAAGTGTTTCATATGGATGTTGCAAAAGTAGACTGTGATGTTGCAATAGTTGTACACCTATGTTGCAAGCTTCTGTTCCCAATGTTTTATATGTTTTTCAGACATATCTTGCAAGTATGTTTATCAGGATGTTGCATGTGTTGCACACATATGTTGCAAGTTTTTTATCAAGATGTTTGTGTATGTTACAATGGTTTCACGGGTTTTTCAGGTGTTTTGACAAGTGTTTCAGACACATATTTGAAGTGTTTCATCCATCTTTATACTGATGTTGCAAGTGTTGTATTTGGATGTTTAAATATATATCGGGTGTTGCATCTCTCTACTTGCCTTCTAATGCCTCACCTTGATGTCTCCTCGTCCCAGCGCTAGGTGGGCATCCGTTACGACGCCACGGCCGGGCACACTATGGGTCCTTCTGAACCAGAGGTGCAGGCGGGCGCCGCTTCCTCCCCCTCTTCTCGATGCTGGTGACATTCGAGCGACGTGGAACCCCACGGGGCGCACGCGAAACAGTAGTGCAAGCGTGGGCATCTAGACACGGGCATCCATCTGGACCTCCGGGCGCGGTTCTTCTAATGGTGCTCTCCTTCCCTCCTTGCCCAACCCGCCCTGTACTAGTAGCAATAGCTAGAGTCCACTCTCATATGCTTCGAGAGAACGAGAGAGAAGGTGGACATAACATGTGGGCTTCGCATGCTGGTCCACGTCAATACTATATAGCCAGCAAGCCACACTACCATGTCAGCAGAGAGATCATGTCAAAACCATTTGCACTTGTATATATGACCAAATGTGCTACCATACTTTGTCAAAAAAAAAAATCTTATCAATGTAACCGCCACACGAAATCAAAACCACCACCATTATTTATTCCGGTAATTGGAATACAACAACCGTACCGCGCATTGATGCTCTCATGGCTCCGGTGCTGGTGCTGGTGCTGGCAGAGGCGACGGCAACAGTCCTAGTTGATAATCAGCCGGCATGCTGCACTGCGCGCACATGCAGACCTGTTGGAAGGTGCAGAATCCGCCCACGTAGCCTTCGTCTTGGCACCGAGCTAGGCAACGCATTGCGTCGTGGTGGCAATCCGGAACCCTGCTGCGGAACAACGGGCACATGGCCCTTGCGTCTGCTTAATCCAACAGAGATTTTGTATGTTCTTACGGCTGTCACAAACTAGCAGGATGTAGAAGACGACGAGGAGAGCGAAGCATTTGTTAAGTAGAGTATTACCTGACGACGGCAAAAGGAACGAGGACAGTATTAGGGCAGTTGCAGCTGCAGCCATGATCACCACCTTGCAAGCCATGAAAATGGTAGCAAAATATATGGGGGTCGATGGCTTTGGTACATATACATCGATGGGCCGGCGATGCATATTTATATATAGGATCAATGGCGTGCGAACCTTTTGTTAATTATAAGTATTATTAAAAATTCTTTGGAAAGCTATCAATGCGGGGCGT